ATTAGAAAAAAGAATATAAATATATGAGAATTATGATAGTTATAAAACAGAATTGAACAAATTGTCATAAACTAAATTCGAATCAAATTTTTAAAATGCAAATTAGAAAAAAGAATATAAATATATGAGAATTATGATAGTTATAAAACAGAATTGAACAAATTGTCATAAACTAAATTCGAATCAAATTTTTAAAATGCAAATTAGAAAAAAGAATATAAATATATGAGAATTATGATAGTTATAAAACAGAATTGAACAAATTGTCTTAAACTAAATTCGAATCAAATTTTTAAAATGCAAATTAGAAAAAAGAATATAAATATATGAGAATTATGATAGTTATAAAACAGAATTGAACAAATTGTCATAAACAAAATTCGAATCAAATTTTTAAAATGCTAATTAGAAAAATGAATATAAATATATAATATTATGATTGTTATAAAACAGAATTGAACAAATTGTCATAAACTAAATTCGAATCAAATTTTTAAAATGCAAATTAGAAAAAAGAATATAAATATATGAGAATTATGATTGTTATAAAACAGAATTGAACAAATTGCAATAAACTAAAGACGAATCAAATTTTAAAATGCAAATTAGAAAAAAGAATATAAATATATGAAAATTATGATTGTTATAAAACAGAATTGAACAAATTGCAATAAACTAAAGACGAATCAAATTTTAAAATGCAAATTAGAAAAAAGAATATAAATATATGAGAATTATGATAGTTATAAAACAGAATTGAACAAATTGTCATAAACTAAATTCGAATCAAATTTTTAAAATGCAAATTAGAAAAAAGAATATAAATATATGAGAATTATGATTGTTATAAAACAGAATTGAACAAATTGCAATAAACTAAAGACGAATCAAATTTTAAAATGCAAATTAGAAAAAAGAATATAAATATATGAGAATTATGATTGTTATAAAACAGAATTGAACAAATTGCAATAAACTAAAGACGAATCAAATTTTAAAATGCAAATTAGAAAAAAGAATATAAATATATGAGAATTATGATAGTTATAAAACAGAATTGAACAAATTGTCATAAACTAAATTCGAATCAAATTTTTAAAATGCAAATTAGAAAAAAGAATATAAATATATGAGAATTATGATAGTTATAAAACAGAATTGAACAAATTGTCATAAACTAAATTCGAATCAAATTTTTAAAATGCAAATTAGAAAAAAGAATATAAATATATGAGAATTATGATAGTTATAAAACAGAATTGAACAAATTGTCTTAAACTAAATTCGAATCAAATTTTTAAAATGCAAATTAGAAAAAAGAATATAAATATATGAGAATTATGATAGTTATAAAACAGAATTGAACAAATTGTCATAAACAAAATTCGAATCAAATTTTTAAAATGCTAATTAGAAAAATGAATATAAATATATAATATTATGATTGTTATAAAACAGAATTGAACAAATTGCAATAAACTAAAGACGAATCAAATTTTAAAATGCAAATTAGAAAAAAGAATATAAATATATGAGAATTATGATAGTTATAAAACAGAATTGAACAAATTGTCATAAACTAAATTCGAATCAAATTTTTAAAATGCAAATTAGAAAAAAGAATATAAATATATGAGAATTATGATAGTTATAAAACAGAATTGAACAAATTGTCATAAACTAAATTCGAATCAAATTTTTAAAATGCAAATTAGAAAAAAGAATATAAATATATGAGAATTATGATAGTTATAAAACAGAATTGAACAAATTGTCTTAAACTAAATTCGAATCAAATTTTTAAAATGCAAATTAGAAAAAAGAATATAAATATATGAGAATTATGATAGTTATAAAACAGAATTGAACAAATTGTCATAAACAAAATTCGAATCAAATTTTTAAAATGCTAATTAGAAAAATGAATATAAATATATAATATTATGATTGTTATAAAACAGAATTGAACAAATTGCAATAAACTAAAGACGAATCAAATTTTTAAAATGCAAATTAGAAAAAAGAATATAAATATATGAGAATTATGATAGTTATAAAACAGAATTGACCAAATTGCAATAAACTAAAGACGAATCAAATTTTAAAATGCAAATTAGAAAAAAGAATATAAATATATGAGAATTATGATAGTTATAAAACAGAATTGACCAAATTGCAATAAACTAAAGACGAATCAAATTTTAAAATGCAAATTAGAAAAAAGAATATAAATATATGAGAATTATGATTGTTACAAAACAGAATTGAACAAATTGCCATAAACTAAATTCGAATCAAATTTTAAAATGCAAATTATAAAAAAGAATATAAATATATGAGAATTATGATTGTTACAAAACAGAATTGAACAAATTGCAATAAACTAAATTCGAATCAAATTTTTAAAATGCAAATTAGAAAAAAGAATATAAATATATGAGAATTATGATTGTTATAAAACAGAATTGAACAAATTGCAATAAACTAAAGACGAATCAAATTTTAAAATGCAAATTAGAAAAAAGAATATAAATATATGAAAATTATGATTGTTATAAAACAGAATTGAACAAATTGCAATAAACTAAAGACGAATCAAATTTTAAAATGCAAATTAGAAAAAAGAATATAAATATATGAGAATTATGATAGTTATAAAACAGAATTGAACAAATTGTCATAAACTAAATTCGAATCAAATTTTTAAAATGCAAATTAGAAAAAAGAATATAAATATATGAGAATTATGATTGTTATAAAACAGAATTGAACAAATTGCAATAAACTAAAGACGAATCAAATTTTAAAATGCAAATTAGAAAAAAGAATATAAATATATGAGAATTATGATTGTTATAAAACAGAATTGAACAAATTGCAATAAACTAAAGACGAATCAAATTTTAAAATGCAAATTAGAAAAAAGAATATAAATATATGAGAATTATGATAGTTATAAAACAGAATTGACCAAATTGCAATAAACTAAAGACGAATCAAATTTTAAAATGCAAATTAGAAAAAAGAATATAAATATATGAGAATTATGATAGTTATAAAACAGAATTGACCAAATTGCAATAAACTAAAGACGAATCAAATTTTAAAATGCAAATTAGAAAAAAGAATATAAATATATGAGAATTATGATTGTTACAAAACAGAATTGAACAAATTGCCATAAACTAAATTCGAATCAAATTTTAAAATGCAAATTATAAAAAAGAATATAAATATATGAGAATTATGATTGTTACAAAACAGAATTGAACAAATTGCAATAAACTAAATTCGAATCAAATTTTTAAAATGCAAATTAGAAAAAAGAATATAAATATATGAGAATTATGATTGTTATAAAACAGAATTGAACAAATTGCAATAAACTAAAGACGAATCAAATTTTAAAATGCAAATTAGAAAAAAGAATATAAATATATGAAAATTATGATTGTTATAAAACAGAATTGAACAAATTGCAATAAACTAAAGACGAATCAAATTTTAAAATGCAAATTAGAAAAAAGAATATAAATATATGAGAATTATGATAGTTATAAAACAGAATTGAACAAATTGTCATAAACTAAATTCGAATCAAATTTTTAAAATGCAAATTAGAAAAAAGAATATAAATATATGAGAATTATGATTGTTATAAAACAGAATTGAACAAATTGCAATAAACTAAAGACGAATCAAATTTTAAAATGCAAATTAGAAAAAAGAATATAAATATATGAGAATTATGATTGTTATAAAACAGAATTGAACAAATTGCAATAAACTAAAGACGAATCAAATTTTAAAATGCAAATTAGAAAAAAGAATATAAATATATGAGAATTATGATAGTTATAAAACAGAATTGAACAAATTGTCATAAACTAAATTCGAATCAAATTTTTAAAATGCAAATTAGAAAAAAGAATATAAATATATGAGAATTATGATAGTTATAAAACAGAATTGAACAAATTGTCATAAACTAAATTCGAATCAAATTTTTAAAATGCAAATTAGAAAAAAGAATATAAATATATGAGAATTATGATAGTTATAAAACAGAATTGAACAAATTGTCTTAAACTAAATTCGAATCAAATTTTTAAAATGCAAATTAGAAAAAAGAATATAAATATATGAGAATTATGATAGTTATAAAACAGAATTGAACAAATTGTCATAAACAAAATTCGAATCAAATTTTTAAAATGCTAATTAGAAAAATGAATATAAATATATAATATTATGATTGTTATAAAACAGAATTGAACAAATTGCAATAAACTAAAGACGAATCAAATTTTTAAAATGCAAATTAGAAAAAAGAATATAAATATATGAGAATTATGATAGTTATAAAACAGAATTGACCAAATTGCAATAAACTAAAGACGAATCAAATTTTAAAATGCAAATTAGAAAAAAGAATATAAATATATGAGAATTATGATAGTTATAAAACAGAATTGACCAAATTGCAATAAACTAAAGACGAATCAAATTTTAAAATGCAAATTAGAAAAAAGAATATAAATATATGAGAATTATGATTGTTACAAAACAGAATTGAACAAATTGCCATAAACTAAATTCGAATCAAATTTTAAAATGCAAATTATAAAAAAGAATATAAATATATGAGAATTATGATTGTTACAAAACAGAATTGAACAAATTTCAATAAACTAAAGACGAATCAAATTTTAAAATGCAAATTAGATTGTTATAATTTTATTTGTTATAATTCCAAATTTCAAAATAAAACAAATTTTAATATATGAAATAATAAAAATTTAGTTATTTCGAACGACTTTTATATTATTAGATTTAAATAAGATATGAATTATTTTGTCTATGAACTTTAGTTTTATCATTTTACTTGAGATATATAATATAAAGATATATAATTGGGATAATGATAGTAAATTTATTTATTTGTTATAATTCCAAATTCTAAAATAAAACAAATTTTAATATATGAAATATTCAAAAATTTAGTTATTTCGAACGACTTTTATATTATTAGACAGAAATAAGATACGAATTATTTTGTCTATGAACTTAAGTTTTATTATTTTACTTGAGATATATAATATAAAATTATATAGTTGGTATAATAATAGTAAATGGGATAATGAATTAGAAGAAATGGACAAAGAAGAAAAGGAATAGGAAGAGAAAAAAAGTGAAGAGGAAGAGAAGAAACGATGAGAGTAAGAGATGATACGAGAGATGGAGTGAAGGAAAAGGGGGAGAATGAAGAGGAAAATCAGGAGACAAGTGTTTTTGATTCTGTATGAAAATAGATAGGCACATGGTTTATATTCTGAATTGCGCAAAATAAGAAGGTTGGAGGCGGTACGAATATGAAAATGTTGGAGGCATGGAAGAAGCATAAGATGTGTTGTCATTTTCTTCCACATAAACTCGGCAAAATAACTCCAACTGATGTCGAGCTGTTCCACGATGTTTCTTATTCCTCCATTTTGCACTGCTCCACAATCTTTCCACTTTTTGAGTATTGGACTCAGTCTTTGGATCAACAAAGTTGTATCTAAGTTAGACATTAATTTGAAATATAATTTTACATACCTATGACTAACTTTAAAATGTTCAAAGCCTGCCTCTTCAATTTCATTCTTCCTATATCCTTCCACGAATCAATAAATGTGGTTGTTCCTGCCTCAAAATAATTTTCAATTGCTTGCAAAAGTGTTGCCACCTTCCGATCAGGTACCTATTATACATTAATTAAAAAACATAAAGAAACCCTACCGTTAAAATAAAACACTCATTTGTTTTACGGCAGATGCATCAAAAAACCCGCTGCTGTGGCAATACGCGACCTGAATTAATTTTTCTTTTTGAAAATAGACTTTCGTATATTTCTACGATCTTATTATCACCTCCAATCTTCTTCAGTTCTCTTGCAGCAAGAGCTGCAACACAAGTCACGGTGTTGTGATTCATTTCTAGTTGTTCTTCACGCCATTTAATTGGCCACATCTGTAACATTGCCAAACTGGACGTTGTTTGTGGTACAATTTCATTTCATGACTATATTATTTGGTATCAAAAATTTGCAAAGAGTGTTGGAAATAAAATAAAAAATAATTAATCGACTTTGAAGAAAGTTATGTCAAAAACAAAAGTGGCGCAAAATTTGCCGCACTCCGTACTTTTTTATAATTATGTAGAGTATGTGATAAAACTTCTTATATAAAAATTAGAATGAATTAACTGAAAAATAAAATTTTCGAATTAGAATCTATTTTCCATATCATAAAAATTCTTAGTTGAATATCTTAATCCAATTGAAGAGAAAAGATTATTTTTTCGTTTGCAGGCACAAGTGATAATAGAACAAAATTTTAAAAAGTAGATCCTGATGAATATAATTAATTTAAAAATTCCTTTTTGGTCAACTCTTTTGAGTATTCTATTGAGGATTCTTAAATTCATATTTTCATAGCAGGAATTTCTGAGGTAAAATAACGGCAAATAAAATCTGATAAAATAAAATCACGAGTATAACGAAGAAATGAAGGGGTAGTGTTAGAGAAGTCCAAGACTATTCGCCCTTCGTTTCCATCTCTGTAGAATAAAATAATGAGCAAAATTGAAGGCATGTAGGGGTAGTTTAGCGAAGTCCAATACCATTTGCCCTTTTTTTGCAATCTGCTCGTGATTTTATTTTTTCTTTTCATAGCTAAGTTAAATTTTTTAAATAATTGATTATCGAGGAGTGTATTAAACTAAGGGGAGGCGTTGCCGCCTATTTTTGTATATATTTATCAAACTGCTTAAATTTTTTTATAAGTTATATGCAATTTTTTCAAAAATAATTTACCTTAAGTTTTAAGTTTTTATTAAATTTTTTCAATATCTAACTCGAAAGACGGCAATTGAAAGGGATGGGATATATATTATGCTCAAGACTTGGAAAAACCGAAAAATCAAAAATTCATAAGTCAAATAATTCCAGAGGCTGTGTATCTTTTGTTTAAAGAAAAAGTCATTAATGGTTTAGTTTAAAACCCAGATACAATTAGTGTAGTTTTTTACTTTAAGATGGACTGAAGGCCCAAGGGCTAATGAGCACTTTGATCACACTTCCTTTATTGCTACTTTCCCAGTAAACATATTTGTAATGTTATTATTATTTATCCGCCCATTAATAGTTGTTATATAATCTTTCCCATTCTTCCCATTAGATAGAATTAGGCCTAACACTTATATTATTTCCATCATTAGTGTAATGTATTTCCTATATGAATAAAGGCGCTTATCATCATAGCGGTAACATCTATGCCTTGACAAGCCTGAGGACCTGATCAACCCTCAGAGCTTGACCGATTAATGTGAAACATATCCCAGACTTAAGTCTTATCAAATACCCCAAATGGAAAGGCCCTAGCCAGCACGCTCCAATTGACGTGCTGTGTTTCACTACCTTAATTCAAAATACAATCTACGTCTACAATTATAGTTCTGTACTGATAAATCTTCTGTGGGTCACCGTCTACATAATTAATAAAAGCATTGTTGGGTTCTATTTATTTTTAACACATATCTAAGACTGATAGTCTCATTTAATCATTTTTAAATTAACGGTTATTATATATTTTACTCTAAATAGAAAAATATTTGCAGAAAAATAATGAAAACTTCTATTATTTTTCTTTTTTTATTTGTAACGCCCATAATTGGATCGGGTAAAGGAAGTTCGTCAAAAAGGGGAAGATTTAAACCCGTTCATTATCTAGATGAAGAGTCAAGTGAAACCGAGACAGAACAGTCTCACATCGGTGGAACTAGTTCAACTGACCCCAATGTCTATGGAGGAACACAGACATTAAATTTGGAAACTGTTACTATTCACGAACAGGAAAACTTGTATAATAACAACCCATTTTCTGCCAATCTTCCACAGCAAATCCATCCAAATAATAGAGTGGCTATGAAAAAAATTCCTTATGAAAAAACAAATTCAAACAAATCAAAAGCTTGTAAGTTATTGAATATAATGATGGTTCAACTTGACATTATGAGTTCAATGAACTTGATGAGTCCAATTGAACATTATGAATCCAAATAAAACTTTATGAGTCTAGTGAAAGGTTTATGAGTCCATAGGAATTTTATGAGTCCAATCACATTTTATTACATTATATTAAAAAATAAGCACCACATTGAGTGAGATTTTCTCTCATTCCCGAACGGTTGATTGCAGTATCGACTCTAAACTTTTGGGTTATTAATAACAGCAGTTCCTTCAAAAATACCAAAAGGAGTAATCCATCGGATTCAACTCCAATGAGTACGGTGGCAATTTTTGAGACGGTTTAAAGCATGGTAAATTGGCTGTGATCAACCTTGCACTACTCTAGCGGTATGAGCTGAGGAAGAATTCTGACGAAAGATCCGTTCCCTAAGTCAAAAGTGGCCTCGGACCCAAGGCAGTAAAAATCTATAATTTGAATAAAGTTATGGCATAAAATGTGTGCCCCATTTCTTTCTTGTCACCCTGTATTTAGATCGTTATAAATGGATTGAAGAAGATGAAGAAGGTTTGAATAATTATCATTTGGCTGAAGGAATAAACGATAGGATAATTTACATTGGTTGTGATCGTTGCAGGAGATACGTAATTTAATGAAAACATTGAAATATTAATAATAATTTTTAATTCAGTTTTATTTTGAACAGAAAAATAATTTTATGCCCCATAACAATTCACATAAAAATTTAAATGAAAGAATGCATGAAGTATCTAATAATGAAAAGAGTAATATAAATATTTAATTATTTATGGACAATCCTTCTAATACTCTAAAAATTTTCATTTTTAGGGGTGTATCTTTAGATGTAGATATTATTTTTTGTTTTGACCACTGGTTTTCAATCCTAGTAGACATTTATTTAATATTTATTATTCCTTCTATACCCAAAAGTTATTCGAGATTAGGCAAAGTAAATGAGTAGTATAACACCCCAAGTAAAATATAGGCAAAGTTGTATCGAGGCTGAACAGATGAACTTTTAATTAGAAATCTTCAAAGTAGCATTCAATTGGAGTGCCATTCATATTGAGGCAGCCTGCATTTAAGATATCCAAAGGCTAGTGTTGTGTAGTGGTGTTAGGATAGTATAAAAGCCAGTTAAGCGTCAGTCTAGTCGGATCATACTAGCGGGGCTAGTCACTGAACTCCGTCTGTTGCAGCTCTCCAAGCCCTTCGCCTACACATTCTTTATTTCTATACCAGATAAACTGTTATTCTTGTGCACGTCGACTTTAATTAAATCTCGGACAACCCTCGACATAACAGTTAGGAACCGAATAGCGAATAATCGAATAAATTTTTGAATACTTCAAGTATTCCTACATAAATATTACAATATCATCCTAATTTTACTGATCAAGAATTTAATAAACCTCTTAAGGCGAAATCACTTTTAATTATAAAATTGAATTTATAGTAAAGCAAAAGTTGGAATCAAGAATCAAAACTCTTAACAAGAAACATTTAAATAGTATTAAAAACTTGGATGAAGGAAATTTTCTTAGATTTAAAGAAAAAACGTTATGTTTTGAATGTGAAGCATGCAAAGTAGATGGACTTCACTTTTTGGTTATTTCAGTAAAGATAATTTATGAACTATAAAAAATTATTTACAGATATTTGTGCCTATAATGGCAAAAATTGAAAGACATTTAAAATCCCAGGATCATAAAGCTGCTGTCAAACGTAACTATATATTATTATTTTTTATAATTTTTATTAAGGTTTGGGAATAGAGTCGTTTCCAGGCCCCTTTTTTCCTCCTCTGGTTTTTTATATATGACGAACTTGGGGAGGAAAAATGGGACTTTCAAAAGACGCAATTACCAAGTTTTGTCCACAACTTCAATGTCTTTTGTAGGCTATGTGCCTATCATAGACATAGTTTATTTCCCAGGCCCATGACATACCCAACAAATGACGGAGGGATACATGGCATTTCAAAATTCCCAAAAGTTTCTTCATGCGTCTTATAGAAAGAAGCGTTATACTAATATACTGCTTCGGCTTACATTATCGTTGTTTGAAGGTTAATTTCTCTTTAAAGGGTATAACACGGCAGAAGAACGGTCTATCAAATACGACAATGTTGTGCTTGACGGTATAATTTTTCCTCTGAATAGAAAACTGTAAGGTTTAATGATCCGGATAGTATAGGAACATAACGACCCGTTACTTTCGGTAGTATTAAGTAGGAACCGGGCCGTGTCTAATGAGAGAACCCTGAAAACCCAGAACTTCGAAAATCCATATTTTGACTAAAAATCTGGTTTCTGACCCATGCTTCAATCAAGTTTAATAAGAGATATGAAGGGATCAAAGGGCATAACGAG